AAACATCAGCCCCCCCCCCAAATTCAAAGATCCAATCCAAAAATGGGCATCTGAGATGAACACACACTTCTCAGATAAAGAAATACAAATGGCAAATAAATACATGAGAAAATGTTCAACATCATTAGTCATTCAAGAAATGCAAATTAAAACAACATTGAGATTTCGTTTCACCCCAGTAAGAATGGCTACCATTAAGAAATTAACAAATAACAAATGCTGGCGAGGCTGTGGAGAAATAGGAACTCTTCTTCACTCCTGGTGGGAATGCAGACTGGTGAAACCACTGTGGAAATCAGTTTGGAGATGCCTCAGCAAACTAGGTTTACAGGTCCCTTTCAACCCACCTATTCCACTTCTGGGTATTTTCCCAGAGGATCTGAAAACATCATATCACAGTGATATGTGTGCACCCATGTTTATAGCAGCACAATTTGTAACTGTTAAATTGTGGAAGCAACCCAAATGCCCATCCACCGAGGAATGGATAAAAAAATTGTAGTACTTTTATATAATGGAATATTATTCAGCTATAAAGAAAGATAAACTAGAGGTTTTTACAGGTAAATGGTCACAACTAGAGACCACACTCATAAATGAAATAAACCAGACCTCCATGTGTAAGCAATATATTGTCTCACTAGTGTAAGAATCTGAAAGAGTGAATAAAAATTAGGAGGTATGATAGACATTGTGAAACAAAAGGAAAATGCTCAAATTAAAGAGCAACTGGGGTGAGGGAAAAGAGAAAAGAAAGGGAAATTATGTATGTATGTATATACAGGATAGCTAACATAGTTGCACTACTGACTTCTATCACTTTACTGAAAGGAAGAGTTAACAATTACTTATTTGATCAGTCTTGCACGTCTCTATTTGTTTTCCTGAGAAACTACTTTGAAGATATCAATACGTAATACAAGTGTTAATTTCCTACCACTTTATCTGTAACTCTGTATTGCTTGTATTGTATTGTATACAATGGAGAGGTTCAGTGCCAGCAAAGCTGTGAGGCACAGAGCTCTCACATACCATCTGTAGAACTCAATTGGTGCCACCACTGGCAAACCTCCTTGGCCCTGTCTACTAAGTGAACACATCCCTGAAATTCAGCAATAGCACACATCCATACACCATCAGACATGTAAAGGAATATATGTCACAACCAAAGAATGGAAATAAAGTGTCTACTGACATTACAATAGGTAGACTGTGGTGTATTCCAACAATGTACTATGCAGCAGTGAAAAGGAGTGGTGTGAGCCTAGTAAACACAATGCTGGATGAAAGACACTCTAGCTGGAAAAGTGCAAGGTGCACAGCTCCACTTACACACCACTCGGAAAGAGCAAGCTGACCTCTGCTGCTGGAGGTTAAGCTGGAACTGCATGGGGGACGCGGTTAGGAGGCCAGGCCTGGGCTGGTTGCCAAGTGTGTACTTCATGAGGAAGGCTTTTCTCTTAAATATTGTTGCTTCACTGCAGAGAAAGGTCAAACTGGAGATGTGAATGTGGGAGTCTTGATTGTGTTATGATAAAACTTTCCTTGCTCATGTTCTTATCAGAGGTGTTTTTAAATAAAGAAATTCCAGGAAGTTTACTTTCTAAAAATAAGAACTTAGGACGCTCAAGTCACACAATCAGCATGCAGTACTTATAAAAATAAGAACTTAATATAATGATTTTATCAATGCTTTTCTTCCATAGTTAGTAGCTAAATCCACAGAAAAGAATGTTTTCTAACAGGATCACAGAAATGCATCACAGAAACGTAGACATAAAGCAGGGCCTTCACGACCTCAGACTTAAGCACCACCCACAAATTGTTAGCTACCTGGTGTGAAGGACCCCTGCAGCCCCACAGGCAAAGCTGATTTCCATCCAAAGGGAAGGCACAGAACTGGGCACTGCAAGCCAGCTGCACATGAGAAGCACATTCCTTGGAGTCAACCACGTACTTTTCCGTTACTATATCACTCTCACAGCCACCAGTGGAAGAAATCTCTTGGGGATCTTCCATCTTCAATCTGAAAACGTAAAGTACACATAAGATGACAGGAGTTGTGATACTTGCTGTAGATAAACATCCACTATTTACATTCACTCCCATCAGGGATTCGGCCCCAGACTACCCACTCCACAGGCCTAGCATGACTGGGTCTGTCTCCTCACTGTGAAGTGAGAACCCGAACTCACAGGCAAGGCCTGCACTAGATCTACTGAGTGTGAGGAATACAGTGTTCAAAATCATGCTCTTGACACTAACTACTACAGCAAAGCTATCTTCCATTTCACTACAGCAGGGCACCTGGTGGTAAGCTGCAAGGTAGTCCAGCAGACATTACAGATATTACAGCCATCCTGGCACACATTCAAGTATTTCATAGCATTCTCTACCTATGAATGCTATTTCATAGCATTCTCTAGCCTATAAAGTTAGGCTACCCTGGGCATTATAACCAGGGATTCGCTGGCTATGTCTTCACAAAGCATAAATAAAACATTGAAAATAAAGAATGATTCAGACTTGTCCCTTTTCACTCTTAGTACTTTCATAAACATAACTTCTGACACACGGGCACTGACCCAGGAGTGATTGCCCCAACCCTCTGTAGGACCGAAGGACATGGCTAGAGCTCTCCTTGCAAAGTAGGAAACAGACCCAACTTTCTGGTCATCATCTTGGTGGTTATGATAGCAGAGAGGGTACCAGGCCTTCCCTACCTGACCACCATGCTGGCCACCCAGCTGGTCACCATGCTGGCATATGTATCAGACTCCCTCTACACACCTACTGCTCAATTAAACATTCTCTGAGCACACCTGGTGAACACCTACCAAGCACACCTGCTGAGCACCTGGTATCTACCTGCCAAGCTGCACAGCTGCTGAGCCACCTGGAATTAGCAGATAAGGAGGTCAGAGAGTGTGATGCTGGGGTTAAGAAGCAGCAGCCAATGCATCTTACCCATCTAATTTTAGGGGATTCCAGACAGGGCTGGCCGGTTGTCACAAGGAGACCCCATGGACAGGAGAAGGGCCCCAGTGCTCAGAAGCCCAGCGGTGTGGTCCCGTGGTATCCCCGTGCCTCCCCGAAGCACTGTGGCTCAGAGAACGGCAGGAGCCTCAGCTGCCAAGCTAATCACACCGGCTCTTCTGGACCGCACGCCAGTCTGCCCAGTGTCCAAGGGCTTCAGAAACAGTTGCATCTGGAGCATCATCACTTCAACAAAAATCCACCAAGAATGGAATCAAGATGAAAAGGGAGGCTTTGTTTCAGTGAAGAGCGTCCAAAAGTGCAGCCCAAGGCACATAAATTCCCAACCAGGTGTGGTGGTGCGCATCTATAATCCCAGCCACGCAGAAGACTGAGACCTGCCTGGGCAACTGCGAAACCTCATCTCAATATTTCTTAAAAACTAAAACATAAAAACCATAAATTATGCATGACCCACAATTTAAAAGTGCTCTCAGGCTCCACATTGAATTTAAGCTGCAAGCCATTTGGGACCTTTCTTACAGTCAGCTTTTCCTAAAGTTCATATTCAAGGCACACTCCACAGCATTAGATAAAAGGACTGAGCCTGCAGTCTCAGGAGGCTGGGAAGAGGCCATCAGGGGCCTGCGTGATCTAGGGTCTGCCCGTGTCTGAGCTGTCAGGAAAGCTTCTCTAGACTGGGCAGTGTCGGATCTGGGTATACCATAGAATGAAATAAGCACGTCAATGAAAGCAGACACAGGTCTGTTTTCCCCTAGATGGCAATCTGCACACTGGATACAGGCCGTCACCCAAGTCAAGAAGAAGTCAGTGTGCGACCAAGGTTAAGGGCAATTCACGCAGCAGCAAAGGCCTGTATCACTTTCTTATATGAACTTTAGTACTGTCCTGATGTGTAAGGGAAATATAATTAAAAAGGAATAAACGTAACTAGGATCTCATTTGGTTGTTCTGTTAGCAAATTAAACAACAAAAAAGTTTCCTAGAAAATCACTGATTTTTTTCAGCAATTTCTGTAACTACCCACCTAGCAAGAATATTTTGATTTTCCACAGGTTTTCTTCCACCAAAAAATCACACAGGAAAGCACTTCAGTGTGGGTATGTAAGGCTTCGCCCCAAATACCTCCAGATGTCCATGAGAGGACCAAAGGGTCATCAGGATTCAGCCTTCCAGCAATATCAGACCAAGATGGTGTATCAGTTACTGTCTCATTGCTGGGACAAAATGCCCAGTACCCACAAGTTAAAGGAGAAAAAGGTTATTTTGGCTCAATAGTTTGTAGAGGTTTCAGTCCACAGTCAACTGGCTCCAAGGCCGGGCAGCAATGGCAGAGGGGCATGGAAAGCCCTACCTATGAATGTGTGAGACTTTGGGAGACATCTAGAGATAACACCTAACAGGCGGTTACTGAGTGCCATCTAATTGCAGTTACTGGCCACCAGAAAAGCCAGAGTGTTAAAAGAAAAACACAGGCTTGGGAACAAGACAAAGAAGGATCACGGAGGAGGTTAGCCTCACAGCTAAGGAGGTGCAAACGGGTCAGAGCCCACCATGCTCGCAAGGGAGCCATGAGGCCAAAGAAATGCAGAACAGAGAGTAAAGGCACACTGACAGCTTTCCACAGACAGCCTGTAGGCTTACTGAATGCAAGTCTGTGTTAGAAGGCTGAAGAAACCACACAGCTGGAGACAGATGTCTAAAGGTAAAGTCGGGAAACAGCCCACGCACTCAGAAATCCTGGAGCTCTTCAAGACAGGTTTCCTTCTTCTTTCCCCTTTGATATTCAATCTCCACTACAAGACTATTGACTGATACCACCCACAGCGAGGGGGTCTTCCCTCCTCAGTTTGCTGGCCTACAAGTCAATCAATCATCCACAGACACACCCAGACCTGTGCTTTATTAATTTGCCAGTGTTTTTTATTCCAGTGGTGCTGACACATCACAATTAATGGTCACAAGGTCTATGAGTCACAGCTTGCAGAGAACTGCCTGAGAGAAAGATCTCATTGGAACAGCCACAGAAGATCTTGTGACCAAGATATATACTGTTTTCTGCTCAGGTTATTTGATCTACCATTTACACAACCTTTATCAACATGGTTTGACCTTCTTTTTCAATTACAAAAGCGCTGCTGAGTAAAACATTTAAACAATGCAGGTACAATAAAGTTGAATTTTCCACCCCTATTTGTTTTCCCTGCTGTGCTTTCCTCAGGGATAACGGATGAGACAGGACTTCCCCACAAACATCCTATGCATGCATATGAATAGGAACAAGTTTTAGAGGAGACAAACTTATTTTCCAGGACACTATAGTTTATCTGAGACTGGATGTGTTAGTCACTTCCACTTTCTAAGATAAAATACCTCACAACCAGAAATTAAAGGAGAAGATGTTTATTTTGGCCCACAGTTTCAGAGGGTTAAATCCATGTTCAGTTAGCTGCAAGGCACAAACATCACGGCAAAGTGACATGGTGAAAGAAGCGTTCACCTCACGGCAGCCAGAAGCAGAAAAACACAGAAGGAACCAGCGGCAAGAATATAACCTTCTAGATCCCACCTCCTAACTACATCTTCAGCTATGAACTCATCCATGGAGTAAGCCACTCATGGGTAAAGCATGTCTGTGATCTTATCACCTTCCAAAAGCCCCACGCCTGAACCTGTGAGACTTTAGGGGGACATTTTAGATCTAGACCATAACCCAGGTAAGCATTTCCAGAAAATGTAAAGATGAATGACACTTAAAGAGACTATTTTAAAGTTAAGCCAGCAAACAAAAGCAGTCACATCAGGAAAACTGGAAACTATACATGTAATAGCCTCTGATTAATACAGAAATAGTACATACTAATTGTAGAAAATTAGAAAATAGATTAGAACAACAATTATTCTCTACTATTCAATGGGTACCAACATTAAAACCTTGTAAATTTATTTCACTGTGGACTTTTTCTATGTATATATTTATGTATGTTTTTTAAAAAATAAAATTGTTTTCTTTTGATTAAAAAGATCAAAACCTTTCTTAGTGCTAAGCAGGCCAGAAACATGTCATTATATTTGTGAGTTAGGAAAATATGTCTAGCATGTGTGAAGCCTGAATTTAACGCCCAGCACTGAAGGGAAAAAAAAAAAGAGAGAGCGAAAGATTCCCTTGAAGGTTTACTTAGAGCAGAGTAAAGTCCCCTGAATTAGCCAGGAGAGGAACAAGGCTTCCTGTTCTAGCTACTCTAAGGACAGAACTAAATACTAAGGATGGGGGCTGGGGATTTAGCTCAGTGGCACAGTGCCTGCCTGGCGAGAGCAAGGTCATGGGTTCAATTCCTGGTACTGGAAAAAAATAAATAAATAAATAAATAAATAAATACTAAGGATGTAACTATAAATTGAGTAACAACACTGAAAGAGGTGTGAGAATGCAACCAAGTTATACCCAGGGATACCACACCTTTAAATTCTTTCCTAAATTATTAGTATGTTAAAGGTACCAGTACTCTTGCACTTGCCTGTAACATAGTCTCAAATACTTTGGAAGGATGAGGCAGGAGGATTGTAAGTTTGAGCCCAGCCTGGGCAACTTAGCAAGTTCAGGATACCCTGTCTCAAAATAAAAATATAGAAAAAGTGCTGGGAATGTAGCACCATGTGAAGGCCCTGGGTTCATTTATATTGAGATATTTTGAAAACTATACTTTAAAAAAATGAAAACTGTTTTGTTAAGCAGCTGAGGACAACCTAAATTTATACACTTACGGTTCTCAAGACAGTAATTTTCACTTTTCTGCCACGAGGACAGGTTATAGGAGGCCCTGGTCTGAATATGTCACACCACAAATTCACATACTGAACTTCTGCCCTATGTTGACGGTCTGTGGGCAGCCTTTGGGAGGTGAGTGGGTCATGAAGGTTGATGGCTGCTGGATGGGTTTCACGCCCTTTTTTTTGTTTGTTTGTTTGTTTGGTTTTTCTCCCGGTACCAGGAACTGAACTCACGACCTTGCGCTTGCCAGGCGTCACGCCCTTATTGAAGAGCTTCCCCAAGCCCAATAGATCCTTCTACCACCTGAGTACACTAAGATGGTCACCCATTTATGAACAAGGTTTTGGGCCTCTGCCAGACACCGAAACTACCTTGACTTGGATTCCCAGCCTCTAGAACTGTGAGAAGTAAATTTCTGGTTTTTATGAGGCACCCAATCTATGGTATATTACAGCACCTGAATAGATTGACGTAAGGAAAAATCATTTAGTACTACTATCACTTGCGGTTCTGAAGTTTAAAATTACTTCTTTTTGTAATGACTTAAGGCATATTCAAAAGTATCCCTACTCTTGTATCCGCTCTTCGGTGTTCCAACCTATGCTTTCTCAGTAGAGAAATAAAATGTGCAGTTCGTGGTTGGGACTGCTTGCCCATAAGCCCAGGACCAGCAGGAGCGAATATAGCGATGCCCCATCACGTCCACCCATCAGTGGTGACCACTCCCTGGATGGAGTCTCCCATTTCAAGTACACCAGTCAGACCACGGCGGGGTCTCCCGCAGAAGGCTCAGTACACGCTTCACAGAGGGCCACAAGGTGGCCCCACGGGTTCAAGTGTACTTCCCCAGTCTCCAGGAAGAAGGCCAGCGGGATCTGCAACCTGGCTCAAGGGGTGAGCCCGGGGGAACGCCTCCACGCGTGCACCCCGCCGTACGGCGCTCCGAAGGATAGAACAGGCGCAACCAACAGACAAGCGTGGGCTCCTTCCCCAGGAGCACGTTCTCCACGGAAACAGAACCAGGTAACACAAGCTGCATGCATCCTCCGCTATCTCACCTGTGGCCGCAGAGCCCCAGGCGACCCCAAAGCTAGCCCGCCAATAGCTTCAGAGCCCCAGGCAACCCCAAAGCTAGCCCGCCAATAGCTCCCTCCGCGTTGCTATGGTTACTAGAAAGCGCCCCCTCCCGCCAGCCCGCGACGTCACGCCCTTTCACCATTCTCGCGAGAGAGAGGAGCCTCACTTCCGGGGGAGGGACATCTCGCTTCCGGGCAGCGCCTGACTTCCGGAAACCTTCGCTTCGGGCTGCGCTCTTGGCCTTTTAAGGCGAAGCCTCGTCCGGCCCGGGTGTTCTCGGCTCTGTGCTGCGGTGAGTGGCGGCGGCCGCCCTGCTCTTCCCCTTGTCTCCCTTTCCGCCGCTCCCCGCCCTTGCCGCCTCCTCCCCTGTGCCCTTCCTTCCTTGCAGTCCCCTCCCCTCCTCCACACCAGCTGTCCGCTTCTCCACTCTGCAGCCCCCTCCCGGGGACCCCAGAGCGGACGCGGGGGCGCCTGGCGGCGGGTGCCCAGGTGAACTTCGCTGTGGCCCGTGTGTCAGCTGTGCGTCCTCGCAGGGCCAGGGCGACTGCGGATGTGCTAGCACGCCCCCGCGCTGAGCGCCCGGCGATGGCGGTGCCCTGGAGGGGAGCTCTTCTGATGCTCCTGGCGTCCCAGGCTGTCGTCCTGGCCCGGGGTGCGGAGGAAGACGACGACGTGCCGGAAGAGTGGCTCCTCCTGCACGTGGTCCACGGCCAGATCGGGGCCGGGAACTACAGCTACCTGCGGCTGAACCACGAGGGCCGGATCGTCCTGCGGATGCGGAGCCTGAGCGGCGACGCGGACCTGTACGTGTCAGACAGCACCCTCCACCCGAGCTTTGATGACTACAAGCTGCAGTCCGCCACCTGCGGCCAGGACTCCGTGGTCATTCCCGCGCACTTCCAGCGCCCGGTGGGGATAGGCATCTATGGACACCCGTCCCACCAGGAGAGCGACTTCGAGATGAAGGTGTTCTATGACCGGACGGTGGAACAGTACCCCCTGGGCGAGGCATACTCCTCGGATGGTGCAGACACGGGTCAGAAGCACGCCTACGCCCCCAAGGAGACGTCTCAAGAGGAGGAGTCCGTTCTCTGGACGATAGTAATAAGCATCTTGAAACTGGTGCTTGAAATTCTTTTCTGATTCTGATTCCTGGAACATGCTCTGGAGAGTACTACTACCCATAATTGGAAAAAGTGACTGCAGCGTGCTGTGAATCTTGCTACATTACCTGGTTGAAATAAATTCTGGCTACCTTTGTGGATAAGGGATGGAAAAATAAAGCCATACGGTTTTGTTACCTCGGTTACCTCAAAAATAGGAAAAAGGCGCAAGCATCGTATTTCTTTCAAGAGCGAAATTCGTGTGAAAGGAATATGCTAAAAATTTGCTCAAATTACTCCATTCTGATTAGTTTGTCAGGTTTGGGCAAAAAGATTATTGCAGTCAGAAATTAGATTAAGAGGTTGATAACTTTATAATCTTACTGCAGACATTCTAAAAGTTCAGCCTATTAAGTTTCAGGAGCTCCTGAAATCGGGGCAGAAATAGTCATTTATTCACATCTCCTGGAACAGAGACTAAATTCTCAAGCCTGTGCTCTAAGGAGGAATGTGACACCTTCTATCCAATGTCCTGGCACTAAGGTACTTGCAAACTTTTTGTTCCTGTACCAGTTAATGACAACTCTAAACCCAACTGCACCAAATCTTATGAGGCTTTTTACCAGTCTATTCTTCGGTCACATAGTAAAATTGTTCAGTTACATAATTTTGTTATACTAGTTACGGTTGGCCAGAAACAACACAAATTAGGAAAGATTGATGAAAAATAATAGTAACTCTTCAGCTAATGGAGGAATAGTTTAAATATTTTCAATTAGGTTGCTAAACATTTCTACCCAATTTTTGAAGATCAAAACTCTGAGATAAAATTCTTTTGGAAGATAAACTATTTCTCTACCTGGAATTAGTCTCAAGGGAAAGAGTAGTTTAAAGTGAAATAAATCAACTTGCAGATTTTAAGCTTATAGTTAATTTCAAAAATCTTTTATTGGCATAAAAATGAAAATGTAAATAAATTGGCACCAAATATTCCACTTCAGTGCATATGTAGCATTTGGGTCAGAAAACTATTTTATCCCTCTTTGCTGTTTTTCCCCCTTCTGCCCACTTTCCTGGGTGTTGGGGGAGTTCGCTGACAACAGTCACAAATCCAGCGACCTAGGAGAAAAGTTGTTAGTTAATATAGAGTGAAACTTTATAAGATTGACTATTAAGCTATTTAAACTCCTTAGTTGTCACTAATGGAAGTCCCTGGCAGACATTTGATGGAAAAGTACTACTAAGTTCCTTAAATGGAGAAAATGTAAACATCTTGTAACCAATGCAAACAATGCTGTGTAAAATTCAGTGCAGGATAAGGAGGTGCAATGCTATATAATAATATGGACCTTTAAAAAAATTACTGTAATCCTCCCTAAAATTCAAACACTACCATGCTTTATAAGCTCAATAATACAGATCTTAACATAAAATCTGTTGCTGAATTTCACTTTTTTCAGCCTTTTGGTCATACTTCTTTTAACAGCCATCTTTCAAGTCCTGGTATACTGTGCTGATAAAGCACTTTAAAACTTCAAGTTTTTAACAGCACAAGGATAAGCTACGTTACATACTTGATCTGAATTACTACACAACTCTGAATAAAGTTGCTTGTTTCTAGATGAGTCCCAAGAAACTTAGTTCTAAACATATATTTTATAGAGTATTATACAGTGTTAACTATGCAAATAAGTTTAGAAACTACACAGTTACCTGTGTAATAATTACTGTGATTTACTCTAATTCTGTGTTCATTCTAAAGTTACCTGGAATTGTCATGCTGCCTCAGTTTATAGAAATTTGTTCTAATATGTATAAAGGTGTATAAAAATAAAATCAAACTTCTGAAACACCCTGGTGCTGCTACTCAAACCTTTTCAACAGGAAAACACCAGTTCATGCTATACATTGAACTATACTTCGAAACTCTGCCTGGCCATTCTGACACCTCATTTGTCCATAAGCTGCACTGTCTAGGGATGAAAAGCACATAAACATGACCTGAATGATCGCAGCTTCAGTCATGTTTGAACAGAAGGATCTACAGGCCATGTCTTCATGTCATTATACTGCTTACGCAGCCTTAAAAAGAGAAATGCTGGGAGAGTCTTATCTCGTAAGATAATGTGCTTTTTTTCTTAATCTTTACCTGATGGAATAGCACCAAGGCCAACACAAAAAGTATGATAACCTCTGTCACACACATCACAGAACATCATTTCTTCTTCATGGTGGGGTTGTCCACATACAATGCATGTCTTACATTCCATACACTGCCATGGGTAGGTCTTAATCATAGAAACAAGCTCCATGCTCATATCCAGGCAAGAAGGATGGCCTAAATCAAAACCAACATTAGCAGCATTTCATAGAAGAATCTTCAACTTAATATGGCATATAAAATACAAGTTTGCTTTAGGACTTCCCAGGAATGGTTATAATGATGTATACCAAGGACATGAAAATACAGTGTAGAAGAAAATACATGGATTTTGTTTCTGCCTTAAGTTATCCTGTATATCTGATGTCCTTTAGCTGACAACTATAAATTCTAGTTTCTGAAGCAACAAATAGGGTAGGATTAAGAATCTTAAGACATCTCCATACTTACCACTGTTATCACACTGGGAGCAGTGTATAAGTGATTCAGCCTTTCCTTTCTTGTTGGACTCCTTACCCTTCAGACAAATTCCACATAGAGCATTTGGAATGACCTTTGGCTGGAAGGGTAGAAGAGGGCTATAAATTCATGCCAAAAGAGCTTGCTATGGGTTCAAAAGGAATTCTGTTACTTCATTACCTGATGTTTATTTTGGTAACTTGCTAATGAAAACCTTTTTGAAAGATGTTAACTGGACTTCAGTTTGCTTACAACACATGGACTACCGACAAAAACCTTAGATTTCATTTTAGAACTCATTAATACTATAATCTTTTAAGATTAAATGTAGCAGTTTCTATTTCCTACATGAGTAGTAAGATCTATGTAATGAGCCAGAAGGACAAATGAAATACAGTGTCAAATGTCACTACTGGAAGAAAAAATGCAAGAATGCAATGACCATTACATGAGGTAAGCCTAAAGTATAAGCAGTTTAAATACTGTTTAAAAACTGGTATTTTCCAAAGCTGTAAAACTGGACTATAAAATCTAAGTTAAAACAATGTCTTAACATTTTTAATTGAAAAATGTCTTATACATTATCATGTGCATAAATGTAGAAAATGGGTTGTGTGATTGCCTTTCATGTTTAACAAAACAGAAGAACCTACATTGTAATATGAAGAATCGCTGAGATACAAAATACTAGAAAGTTTTCAGAGAAGCAAAAATATAGTCAGACTAAAAAAGCATATACAGTGTTTGGACTTTAAACAATTTGGCAACACAAGGACAAAGGAAAACAACTGGGTAAACCTAGGTACTAGGCCAGGGAGAATCACAGTGTTGATTTGAAAAAAGAGGCTCACTCATGTAATCACTGGTAGGCATAAGAAATATAGGAAAGGAAGAATAAGTGGGGCTAAGAATGAAAAGGAGGGCAGGGGAATATAATGATGAACTGGGAAAGGAATTATTTTAAGTAGAATTGTTACATTTCTGCTTTATTCAGCACATCCAAATGCATCTTGTGTATCTCTTTCCTAAATCACTGTACCAAAGAAGAATCTCAACAATACTTTGTGTAAAGTATTCCAGCTTTGAAATGTCTTACTGCTACCTTCACAATCTGTTATGCCTAAAGAATTTCTTTTTACTTCTTTTAAGTTTTTATTTTTACATTAGCTTTCTTTGCAAAAGATGACAGAGGCATTTAAAAAGAATTTTTGGCTTATTTATTTAAAAAAAGTCAACCTTATACATAAATATGATAAAAACAATAACTAAACAATCACAAATGTCTCTACAAAATAATAAATATCATGGAAGTTAAACATACATATAAAATGTCACCATTAACTATTCTATAGCTCCTATAGGTATTTTTATACCCTGCTCCCAACAAAAGAGAGTCACATGCTCAGACCTTAACTCCTGCAGTGCAGTTTCCCAATGCTGTTAACTGCTACATTCTAAGTGCATGGCTCCCACTGTGTGTTCCTCCACCTCAATAAAAAGCTAGGAAGTGAACTCTCATTATCCAAATTCTGAATGCATTATGATCAAATCTGTAACTGCCATAATAGCAGAAACCTACCTTTCAATCCACCAAAACTAACAAGTCCGTCAGTTATAGTGCCTGGGCTAGGGCTAAATACAGAAGATTCATGTATTTAATACTTGTAGTTTAACTTAAGATACTGGCTTAGTAAGTAATATCGTTCACTGAAGGAAGTAACCACACAATATTAAACTCTAAAACGAGAACTCTTCATAGGAGGTCCTTTATAAAACAAAAGTCAAAAGAAATAAAACTAGTCATTCACATTCTAGAGCAATTCAAGTTCTACAATCATTAAAATATACATCCAATGCCTATAATAAAAGGACATTAAGAAAATTCTAGATTTGTTTCTAAACTCAAATCAATGTTTTGCTAAACCACTAAAAATTTTTCTTACCCAATAGTCTTCATCTTGACAAAGAGGGAGAGAGGGAAGAGAAGGAGGAGAGAACTTCGTAGCACTTTATATTGTGACTCTGCAGCTCAGCACTCAGAAGCCCTCTGTGCACGTCAGTATCCGAGCTATCTAAGCAGCCAAGGTACCTGCACCTAGGACCTCCCAGATCTAGGTAGGGAGCTGTTTGTCCCCCACAGACTGCAGAGTGGAGGGAGGAGGCAGGGAAACAATGAGCAGAATTCTCCTGAAGATTAAACAACCCTACCTGTGTCTGACTGACATGCTCGCTGTATCCTACTTTAGAAAACTGTAACACCAAAGCCTTGCTGAGGGCAACACTAGAATATTCATCCCAACAGTTCTCAGCATCTCAAATGAAAAGTAAGTTAGACCTTCATGGTACCATTAATGTAGCACAGATTTTAACTACGTAGTTTAGGCCTGAATGCTAGCAATACACTTTTAATTTCAGGTTAATGTAACCTAAACAATACTGTCCTACAAATTTAGGGCAAGCACTAGTGAATCTTATTAAACAAAACATCAGATACATTATTGTTTGTTTTAATGCTCCTATTTTAAAAGTCTGGTTGTGTGTGTGTGTGTGTGTGTATGTGAGCTTCAGCTTGCAGTACCCTAATATTCAGGCACATCTTGGCTTATTAATACTTTTTTTCATAGGTTAATTTTCAATAAATATTTTCACATTAATGTATAACATCTAGATACTGGCTGATACCACCTTTGAACTATCTGAAACATTTTTAGTACCTAGGTTATAAAAATGTTCAGAGGAGATTATAGAATGTTTACTTTGCATATCAGACTCCCTTGAGTACTAATAATTTAGATTAAGCTATATGATTTATTATATAGTGAATCTGACAATATGGCTAATTCTTCATGGTCAGCCTGTATTGAAACATCTACTGCAGCACTCTCTTTTTCATCTGCACATGCCCATGCACGCCTGTAATCCCTGCTACCTGGTCAGCTAGGGCAGGAGGACTGCAAATGAGCCCAGCCTGGGCAACCTGGCAAGACCCTATCTCAAGGTAAAACAAAAGGGCCAGGGAGATAGCTTAGTGGTACAGCAGGTGCCTAGCACATGCAGGGCCTCAGGTTCAATCCCCAATATCACAAAAAAATTTCATTTTTTAACCCATGATCAAATAGGTTTACTGTCTGAAAGAGCTAAGAACGAAAGTGTGTAAGACAGTGTGCTTGCAGCTGCCGCTCTCATTTGAAGCTCTTAGACCAGTAAGCACATGTTCATTCATGTGGGCTAAGTTTCTGAAATTTAATCTTTGGAGTTCATTTGTTTCCAGTTACTATGCATTAATTTAAATCTTCAGTTTTAAAAAACTTAGATAAGGTCTCTATATATGTGTGTTAAAAACAAGTATAAAAATCAGCATTGCAGCTTATTGAGCTACCCTTTAAAATGCAATCATTGCTAAATGACACTTAAAACTTGCTTGCTGTAGGCTTCAAAAACATACATGTTTAAATCATTACACAAAGCCGCTCTCTAATAAAATACGGAATATGCTAATTTATCAGGTCTGTGTTTTTTTAAGATTCTTCGTTTTTACTTCAAGAAAGAAAGGTAAATAAACTATCACAGTTCTGCCTACAGTGGGGCAGGATGACTAACTGTTCACTTTAAACTGTTCGTATGGGTTATATACCACAGTAACAATGCTGATATACAAGGGCTTAGCAAGTTCACTTAGCAAAATTTTCTCAGCACCCTATTTAAAACTTTCCTTCAGTCCACCTTCATAATCATAGTAAAGCCACATCCTAATACACTGCAGATCAAACAAACTGTATTTTACTATAACTACCCCAAACAAAACTGCAGCTGATTCTGTTCCTTTTATGATATTCCTACAGCCCTATATCCAAAGTAAGGCTGCTTACCTCTCACAAAACCTTTCAAAGGCAAACAGCAGGTAGAGAGGAAACAGTATGGCAGTAACAGTTGCTGACAACCTACTGTCTTACTCTGAGAATAATTAAAATCACAAGTTAACAAGTATATTTTAATCCTTGTCCTAGAATTATGTGGACTATTTTCCAATGTTATTCTAAAAGTCACCACAATGTAAACAACAGGCTTGATTTTCTATCCCAGAATCAGCTGAATTTAACATAGACCAAATAATCTTTACATTGAACTCAATTTTTCTTACTAAAAGGCACTGAAGAAATGCAACTTAGCATAACTGTATGTCCACCCACACTGTACAGCTCAGCAGGCCTAGCTATACCAACTAGATAGTTAAGATGCCAGGTAATTATGATTTAAAATTCTGCCTGTAAAATAATGTCTCAAAAACTCATACTTGCCTGGTTATCATTTAAAAGGAAAGAAGACTGAAAATGTACATATACAGAAAATAGAAGCTAACCCATAGCCAAAAGTGACAGGAAAGCCACCAAAGAAACAAAGCAAAAAGAAAGCAGCGGACAGGTATACACCACAGGACAGCTAGTGAGGTGTAGCAAGCAGGAGCTCCACATCGTGAGGTGCAGAGTTAACATGGTTCAGGGAGAGAGGCTGGTCAGTAAAGAAGCTGAGTCAGGGGCTTTTTTCTTCTACCTTGTACCCAGGAACTGACTTGGACAGTACAGAACGTTTGGAGCCATCCTTTCTCGGAGTGGCAGCTTTGTCTTTCGACTTCTGTCTTCCCTGGAAGGCGTCCTCCTGGCCGTCGGGAGGGCTTTCTCCTTCTGACACATTGCCTGAGGAGCTGTCCTGGAAAGTGAGAGGCAAAAATCAAAGGTTTCTTGGAATCTAGACAAATCTGAGTCATTAGGTATTAAAAATTCATCAAGTGAAAAACAAAAAGATCTTTCTAAATACAAGAAATCTGTTCCAGTGGAGACTAAAATAAGTCACACTAAAAAGTACTTATCCTGCTTGTAAGTATAATTTAGTTTAAAGCTAATTCCATTTCTACCAGTAAGTGCCTTAATCTTTTTTATTTTTATGTAAGTCAACAATAAAATTACCTACTTCAGCTTCAGTATTTCCCATATCATAAGGGAGCATATTTGTTTCATATCATTATAAGTAAGTGTAGTTATTTTCACTGGATAATAAAGGTCATCAGAGTCCTTCAAACATTATGATATGCACGCTGTCATAATGTTAACTACATCAAACCAAGCATAGTCTGGCAGATCTACAACAGTATCTGACCATAGGCAAGTTTAAGACCTCAGTATCTGATCATTTTAATTCATTTTACAGCTTAAAATGTTCTAGCTACAAAATTAGAAACACAATTTTGTGTTCACATGAATTATGAAACTTGTAAGTGAAAACATTAGGCCCCCAGCCAAGTGATGTACACTCTCAGATGAAGGCTGGTGTTTCTGGGTGTGATCACAGATGCTGAAGGTGCCCCAGCTTTCCTCATACACCACCCTATCTTAGAACGTGCCCTCACATTTCAAAACACAAAACTGGGTTACGCTGCGTGTGTTTCTGTGTTTAAGCACAACCTGTATTTTCTCACACATTGACTGTTCTTTGTACTTCTATCCCATAAATGTAATATAACATCACCCACTGCAGACATTAAGATTTTGGATTTCCACTATAAGAATTTCTACCATTAACACTCAGCTCAACACTTTTTCTTACTAATTTCTTTGCCGGCAATTAAGTCATAAGAATAAATTCTCCCAGCACATTTGCTAAGTCAAATTCTGTGAAGATTAAAATTCCTAGTATGCTGTCAAAATGGTTTCCCAAAACACTGGATTTATTTACACTCCTCGAGCCAAACTCGGAAGGTGGCTTTATCACCCAGAGCTCCCCACAGCAACCCTTCAGCAGCCCAGCAGGAAGCAAGTGGTACCGCCACTCCCACACTCTTAATGGGTATTCTGTGTAGCAAGTATGACAAAGTATGTTTTTCAGTGTTGCCAAGAAGGAACTATTACACCACTTAATGGTAGCACGTTCTCAGGGTCAGGTTGGCTGTAGTAGGAAGTCTGCAGTGGAGTTACTTAAAGCACACTTCTACTGAAAAGCAAAGCCCTGTTTTACCACTAGCACCAAAGCCTGAACCACACAGTGTTTCCCACTGTCTTGCCTCTGCATTTGGCTATGAAAGGAAAGTCATGCAGGGGTAGAGGTATGGCTCAGTGGTAGAGAGCACTTGCCTAGGATGCATAAGGCAACCCCAGCACCACCAAAACAAAGTCACAGAGAAAAGCCCAATAGTTAGCACAGCTGGTTAGTAAATGTAACGTTTTCCTACAGAAAGCGCAGGGTTAAGCAACAGAAACCCAAGTTAATATGCTTCCTGAAACCAAGAAAAATGCATTTCTCTGCAGCAGAAGATTAAAGGCTGTTTTGTTCAATATTTTAAACTATACTGTCAGGAAGTTAGATAAAAGATAATAAACTAATGTTCCCTTGACCTAATGGGTTCATTTTAGATACAAAACTTACCAAAGGCCACGTACAGCTTGCACACATCTAACAAAAACTGCTTGATCAAAACTTTCCAGAAATAATATGCAACTGTCCTTCTCATAAAGAGTGTAGTGACACAGTTCAATTTAACATTCCAAGAAGGCAGCTGGAGAACACTGGAAGGGAAAGGAAACGCCTCCTACGAAGGACAAACATTCCTACCGAGGTGCCTTTATGTTTCCGCTTCTCGTCAGCATGCCCGTCTTCAGCGTCGTCTGAATCACCATCGCTGTCCAGTGCAGGGAGCTCAGGATCCAGAGGAGGCTCATACAGGGCTGTGTTCAGAGGCAAATACCGCAGTTCGTCTGGTGAGTACCTAAATTCAGAGAGGTTACATTTATTATTAAATATGAACAGCTTAGCTTTGAGCTACAAAAATGGCCATAAGCTTCGAGCGCTTATTCTTCATTCTGGTTATTAGGTGGGAAGAAAACCCTGAATATTTTTTCATGAGACTGATCATGTGGAATATGCATTTGATTCTCACTGTTGAAAGATAATGCCTCTCCCTTTCACTCTCAACTCAAGTAAAGAAAAAAGTAACTAAAATGCCAGCAGACAAGGTGAACTACAGTGACACAGAGTAGTACATCCACATGTAGGCCAAGGTCTGCTGCCTGCTCACATCCACTTCCACCTGGCCCTGGATTCTTCCTACTACTTTAGCTGCATCCCTCCACTTACAAACGGGTAGGAACAGCCTACCTCATAAAACTGACATGACAGTTGAATGAATTAATGCATGGAACTCACAGCACTGCACAGTACGTGGTATTACTTAAGACGTAACTTAAACTGTTTTCAATAAATTATTTTAGACCAATTTAGGAAGCATGTATTCAAACATTTAATCCTCTATCTGATGCTGCAGACATCAGTCAGGTAGCACACAGCCACCTCCCTTCAGAGGGGCCTCACTCAGGAAGGGACCTTCAACCAACAACCCCCTCCACTAAAAGATGACACCCAAAAGTAAAGGTGTTGGTACAGTAGCATATGATTCCTAATCATCCGCTGACCCAGAACAAATTTTATATTAAAAATGCCTGGCCGTGATCTAAATCTGACTTTCAGATAGTAAATATCACTCTCTACGGAACAGTCTCTGTTCCAGCAAATGTGTTTCCAGAGTGAGGTTTAAAGATGAAGCTAAAATACTGAAATAAAATGAACCATTAGGCCTGGATTTTTGTTTGTTGGTTTGGTTTGGTTTTCGGTTACAGTGAGGTTGGGAGCAGGAGATACGCAGCACTCGTAATGCGTGCACTCTGGCGGCGGCAGCCAGGCCATGTCAGCAAGGTGGCAGGCACCCAGAGCCAGTGTGCTCCTGCTCTTCCTCTGCAGTCCTGGTCACTGCTTCCAAAACTCTAACCTTCGCATGAATCATGAATCACTGTGCTGGAAAATGCAGACTTCAGTGGTGGGTATGGAGTTGTGCCTGAGATTCTACATTTCCAACAAGGCTCCACGTGATACCAGCACTGCTGGACCATGGACCACACTGGGACCTAAGAGTACTACACAGCCTCTGGCACCTGTCCGTGACAAACCCAAAGCCAGTGGGCAGAGACACGGTACTCAGGCTCCCTCAGCAAGCGTCCGAATTCTGTGTAAGGGTGTTCTTCACCACAGAACCAGAGAAGATATAACTGATACAGATCCTACACAACATCTTACGGTGTTGGAAGGCAAGTACCCAAGGTTCTGATGACTACATCTACTAAGTACCTCTTGTAGTACTCCTGGAATTGTCCGGGGATGAGAGCCACTGGGTAAGAACTGACCTTTGTCCGTTCTGTTGGCAACACTTTGTACTTCCCTTGAGGCACCTGGATAACCTGTATTAACAGAGAGGAAACTGATCCATGCTAGGAATCACGGTTTAGGGAAAGAATCTCACAAGTGCTCCACTGCACACACACTCACCCCACAAAAGCAGCAAACAAATCAGGAGCTACAACCTAGGGGGACAGTTGGTACTTTCTAATTCCACATGTGATAGTTTAGTGGGCTAATTCACTATAGGTACAACATCTGAGAAGAGAAGAGTTTCTCTTCTTACCAAGTAACAACAGTGTGACCTGGGTCACATTAGGAAATATAGCAGGGGGGATACATAGCTACGAGCAGTCTCACTCAGTAGAATATCAACCATAAAGCAAAAGAGACCTTAAAAAAAAGAAAGCACTGGACACAGTGGCACATGGGGAAACCCAGCGACTTGGGAGGCAGAGGTAAGAGGACTGCAAGTTGAAGGCCACCCTGCACAACTTAGTGAGATTAGTGAGGGTGTACCTCAGTGTTACAGCTCTTGCCAACACATGGAAAGCACTGAATCTCATCCCCAGAACCACAAAAAGAAAATAGGAAGACAAACTAAGCATTACTCATTAGTAAATAAACATTATTATTATACATCATTAAAAGGTATCTTAATTTCTGGAGAAGAAAAGGATGCAGAGCTTGTACCAAAACAATAATAGTAAATGGGGAAATGGCAACTCTGTGGGAACAAGCAATCACTAGACTCAGGTACTACTAAACTTAAGTCATCCTACGTGTGTCTGTAAGTCAAAATAAGCTCTTCTTTCTTCCATCCGTTCCCGATTTAAGTTGCTATTAAATTCGGCTGCTTTTTTGGCAGCTTTCTTAATGTACTCAGGCACTTTGCTGGCTTCAACTTTCTGAGTATTCTGTTGTTGCATTTGCTGAAATAAAAATATTACAGTTAGAAATCCCACATAACTTTCCAAAATGACATTCTCCTCATCCCAAATAAAATATGCCTCAGTTACTTACAGAATACTCTTTATAATGATCTGTAATGCGCTGGCGTTCTTTTTCTTGTAGAATAACAGAATATTCAGCATGTTTGGCTGGATATTCTTTTATCATTAAATCAATCACTTCATCACTGCGCAATGCTGTTAAACCTATTTTTTAAATAAAAAGAAAGAGGCTCTTTAAGGCTAACCAAAGAAAAATACTTTTTGAAAATAACTTCTCCTTCAAGCTACATTTAAAAGGCTTCACAGTAGTTGAGGCAAAGTATTTTCTTTTTTGGGATAGGGTCTCACTATGTAGTTCAGGCTAGCCTTGAATTCAGGGCCATCCTCCTGCCTCCGCCTCCCAACTGCTAGGATTACAGGGATGTGCTACTACACCCAGCTGCAAAGTATTTTAATATCCTTGAAAAATAATGTAAGTTAATATTCATAACAAAAAGCAAAAAAAAGATTGCCTTGCAAAGACTAAGAAATCAATTCTTGGGGCTGTGGATTCAGCTCAGCGGCACAGCACCTGCCTGGCAAGCGCGAGGTCGTGAGTTAGATTCATGGTACCGGAAAAAAAAAAAAAAAAGAAAGAAATTCCTCACCAAATGAATTTCTTTTAGATTTTACATACAAATATAAATATCCCTTCACTTAGAAAACAACTTTGTTTTATTTTGAGTTCTTATTTTTGATTAGTGCCCATTCACAGTGCATCCTGTTCACACTCCTTGTGGAGATTTGGTACATGGAAAGCAAGTCCCACTTCCTTCATCCCCTTTGCCCTCCCTTCCTTCTCCCACCATCCATCCCTTGATCACCTTACCTTACCATTTCAGAATGACTATCTCCCTACTTTACCAATTATAGTTTATTCTGGTCTTTATTTATATTTTGGTTTTCTCATATAAGAGAAACCATGTAAGGCTGTGTGTCTGATTTATTTCACTTAACAGTATGCTCTCAGGGTGCATCTTTCTAAAAATGTTTCAAATTTATGTTTCTTTGTGGCAGAGTAGTATTCCACTGTATGTAAATACTGCTATTAAATAATGATGTACATTAACCATTAACAATGTAGGATTTTAGATATGTAAAAAAGTTTTCAATATATTTTTCCTAGTCTTCAAATTTTATATACTAAAAGTATAACAACATAAATTTTTAAAAGATCATTAGTATATGCATATCACTGAAATAGTTTTCAAAACTCATAATATCGTATTTCACCAAGTGCTAAACTGAACCCCCATGCATTTATATGAAATAGGAGCTATGTTCTATTACAATGCTGATGAGTGGCAGATTATGAATAAAGGATGGAGACAGTCATTCAGAACTAAAACTTAGCAAAACTGACCTTTTAAGAAGTAAGGATTTATGGATTCAATCCCCAGTGACACACAAACAAAGACAGAAGGATTTATACTTTTAAAAACTACAAATTTTAGCTGGGTGTGGTGGAGCACACCTATAATCCTAGCACTTGGGAGGCTGGGACAAGAGGATCTCTGTGAGTTTCGGGTCAACTTGGGCTATATAGAGAGTTCAAGACCAGCCTTAACTACATAGCAAGACCCTGTCTAAAAACACCAAAAGAAAAAAAGAAAAAGACAGCCTTAAAAAAGAAACACCAAATTTGCACACAAAACACAAATACTTTGACAGCTCTGTGAAAGTTATTCTTAGAAAATTATACTGTTATAAAACATAAGTTTCTTTCCATTTCAGTAATAAAAATAGAATTTAGTATTTAAATCGCTCAATCTATTTTATTAATGACATAAAATATTCAACAAAGGAGACAAGTATTTATCCAATACCGCCTACAAATACATTCTGTCTGAAAAACACGTTAAAAACTTACATTACCTAGAGTACACTGAGTTTCTGTAATGACATTTAGCTCTCTCAAGTAGAGTTTCTCTTTGTGAGACAAATCTCGTCGCTCTAAATCTCCAAAAGAAAAACAAAAAACTATTAAAAAATAATGAAACATACATTTATAAACCTTCTAACAGTTTTAAAAACTTGATTTAAAAAAAAAACTCCAAATTCGACAGTCTCAGTATTAAGGGAACTACACAGAAATGTTATATATTAAGGAAATTAAAAAACGAAACTAAGGAGAGAAACCTAGAGCAGAAAGGTGACATAAATAACTACATTCACAAAAAGGAACAGCCTTTCTGAAACTTAGATGTGGCTTCTACAGCTAACTGCATTCCTAAGGCTGAGGAGCAGCGGTAAAGAATCTGAAACTGTTGTCTACACAATGATTTTTTTCTAAACTTTCCCCCAAAATTCACCTTTCTCACTTTGCCTTTAAATCAGTTTGTGAGACATAAGAATGTATCAATAACAGAGAGAGATGTTGAATAATAAATAAAAACGCGCGAGAACAAGAAAATATAAATAATTTCTATGCAAGAATTTAGAAGTAGTTCATCATAAAGAATTACTATTAGTTAAAATTTAGATATAATTTATCAATAAACTAAGACTTAAGTACCTGGATATTTCCGTTTAAAGGAGGTCACACCCAAATATTCGCTAACTTGCTCTTGAAGCATATAGTACTCTCCTGTTTCATCAGGTGGCCATTTGTACTCAATCAGATTTTCTGCTGGATAGTAACTAAAGCTAAGCACAGAAATACATTTTATGCCTTAAATATGGCATTCATTACATGCTAATTCTGTTTGTTAGGGTATTTTGACTACTAGGTATTTAAATTCTTCGTTGTGATTTAATTTCATGTTTATCAAAGAAAATTACAAAACAAGTTGAAGAAAGAGCAACTGAAATATCATATCAAAAAAATTAAAAATATTTTCTGTATTCCACAAGGAACCAAGACTGACAAGTAGAAACAAAGGCATGTTCAGACTGAGATGAGACCAAAGCATGGTAGTGGTATCAGCTCGGAATTCTTTGTGGCTCTACACTCACTCATGGCAGTATTTCATCTAAGGGGGTATGAAGAAGCAACTTCTGATTCTTTTTGCTGCTCAGTGAGTCCCAAACAGCTAAGCGCACAGAACTCCATTTCTCAGTGAGCTGATCTCTACACCATGGTTGTGTGTTCGCACGTGTTCTCCACAGACCAAAAAAAGAATGGACCTAGTTTCAAAGCGCCACTGGACTGAAGTCCACTTAATCCTGAACAGCCGCATGCACATTTCAGGGTGTGAGCCGAAGTGACGCCCAGATCTGAGGCAAAATGTGACACTACTTTACGCATCTATCCATTTGAAAAGTAACTGAAAAAGCGGGGTTTCCAAAACCGATGCTGGGCCTCTAGATATCCACACATGGAAGTATGAAACGGAACCTCTTGTTACCTTAAAAAATTAACTCAAGTGGACCAACAACCCCGGTATACAAGCTAACTCTGACTTGGCAATGGATTCTTCACAATAACACCAAAGCACAAGATTTTAAAGAAAAAACAATAGGTATTTTAGACTTCATCAAAATAAAAAATTTAATTCAAAGGATACTATCAACAGTGAAAAGATAACTCAAGGATTGGGATAAAACATTTACAGATGCATATATGATAAGGGATCCATATCCAGACTATATAAAGAATTGCCATAACTCAATAACAGCATAAAAAAAAATTTTTAAGGGGCCAAGAGCTAGATAGATACTTCTCCAAAGCTACAAATGGCCAATAAGCACATGGAAAAATTCACAACACCACTAGTCATCATGGAAATGCAAATCAAACTCTTAATAAGGTATCACTTCACACTTTTTAGGATGACTATTGTCAAAAAAACCAAAAACCTGTAAGGATGTTGGCAATGAAAACTGTACTGCTGACGGGAATGTAAAATGGTGCAGCTGCTATGGAAAAAAGTGTAATGACTCAGAAAGAAAATACCCTAACAGTCTTAATTAATTCCTTTTTCACGGCTGGGAAGCAGGGAGAGAGAGAAAAAAGGAGCTAACGCAGAGAAGAGAAACATACCCAAAAAATCCTGTTACGCAGTAAAGTGCCAGTACCTGAGATCCTGACTGGACGTCTCACAGCTCCGCGAGCTGTCTCCAGAGCCCATCCGCCTCCTTTTGGATGGCTGAGTCCCATCATTTGAATTATCTTCATTATCATCCTACGCATTTAAAAGATTCAAAAATGATAATTAGGGAAATAAAAGAATAAATAAAGGGAAGGAATACTTTTTATCTTTGCAGTCTTGCTAAAAGTCCCAATAAGTGAAAGGATTTCTAAGGACAACTATTACACAAATCTTAATTTCCTATAGTGGCCGGGCCTGGTGGCACAGCCTGTAATTCCAGCACTTGCAAGGCTGAGGGAGGGGGATCCTTGCCAATTTGAGACCAGCCTGGCTACAAAGTGAGCTCAAGGCCAGCCTGAACTGCCTAGCAAGACCCTGCCTCAAAAACAAAAAAAAGACCAAAAAAAAAATTCCTAGAATGATCAAAAGGGATCAAAAGGAACTCAGAATTCTGCATAAGCAAGACCTGGAACAAAAAAAACTAAAACCCAACCTTCAACTGAAACAAAATTTTCAATTAATCTGTGACTCTAAATCCATGTTTACTTTACCAAGTAAGATTAAAATGCCCTCTGCTTTTAATAAACAGATGAAAACTACTGCATCACTCGAAAATTAAAGTGAACTGTCCTATCTAAGCTAGGAAACTTAGGGCCTGGGGATTTAGCTCAGCGGCACAGCGCCTGCCTGGCAAGCAGGACATCGTGAGTTCGATTCCCGGTACCAGACAAAAAAAAAATAAGCTAGGAAACTCTACAGGTCATTCATAGCACTTCATTCAACTCAGAACTGCTTCACAGGACTATTCTACTTTAGGCACTTATGTCTCTGTGAAAAGGAGACACCGCAGGGCTTAAAGCAGGTTACCAATCCTAACCACTTACCCTACACTGCAAAAATACACTCTATGATAGGGATCATTACTTTATAATAACACACACATCCAAAAGACATACAGATGTATAAATATAACAGAAAATTGACTTATTTACATATTAGCCAAGGCTTAAGCTCTAAAAATCAGTTTCTTATACTACTTAGCTAAAGCACCCTGGTCCTCTGGCTACATATTAAAACAAAAGTAATCCTGCAAAAGAAAATAAGAGGCAGTAACAGTGACAGGCACACCAGCGCCTGACTTCTGTGCCCTGCCTCTCACTAGCTGTGTGGTTACTCTCTGAAAGCTTCTCCCCATCTGAAAACTAGGCCTATAATGGTACTTATAATATCTGCTTAATGTTAACGGTTAAATGAGTTCATGTCTGGAAAATGCTTACGACAAGGACTAGCAAAAGACTGATAAAAATATTATGACAATGAGAATAAAATCTCAAATGTCTCCAGCCCCTCAGAACTTACCAAGATTCTTTTCCAAACAGCAAAATACACAAAACATTGTTGG